TGTGAATGGTTCAACTTTCCAACCGTATAATGTAATTATATAATACTATAGGGGTTATTTTAGTTCTAGGAAAGGTGCTCTGTTTAATCTATTGAAGTGGTTAAACAAATGGGTGACAACAGGAAATAGGCTAAGAAGGTATTTTGCAAGATTCAAGTTTCTTAAACTAACTCACAGACATTTTCTGCCACCATCAATTGCTGAAATTAGATTATCTATCGCCCAGGCATCTGGTGTACAGATTAGGACAATTAAATAGAATAATGTTGATGTAAAACGGTGCCCATACGAAATTGTCCCGCCCTAATAGCTGACGCGTCTATATTTCTATATAAGAAAGAGCGAGGTTAAATTTCCCTTATTTATACATCATCGGGCGTTCCTAGCCGTACGACTAGCCGCCTCGGCTTAGAGGCCAGGGTACCGACATCATGTAGTGTTCGTAGAAGAAATAGAGACAATACATAGTGTTTCAGCCGTTAGGTCGGAGTTCTAGGCTTCTTAAACACAGACTGGAGATATTATAATTACTCCTAATGTTGTAGTTTCCTGTATTTGATATAAAAACATAGTTAATCTACAAAGTGTTTCAGAGCCAATTGATCATTGGAAATAGTTTATACACAACGTGAAGTCCAGAATCAATTCATCTATAAAAAACACCATAGCGCCACAATTAAATGAAGTTGTCGATCATGGAGCTGTGCCGTTGCTGCTAATGACGGTAATAACCAGTTGCTGACAGTCATAATGGCTCTTAACATGAGCGTCGCATTATCGCCAAGTATGAATTTATTGATTAAAGTAAATAAGATATAAGTTTGGTATAGTATTTTACACAAGCGGTGATCTTAAGTGAAATGAAATGGGGTTTAACGTCCAACTATTCTGGTCCAACTGGGCGAATGAAGACGGTGGGGGGGGGGATCTTAAAGGTGGACGTGATAATCAGCTGGGTATAGCGACAGATGGACGATGTCACGATATGGTTGGGCGCTCTAAAGTTACGTATCCCATTTGAGCAGTGTTGGCCATTATTTCCAACGACTCAATATTTTGAACTGAACTTTTCAGACAGACAAGATGACAATGTTGCTGTCCACCATTATTACATGATAGAGCTGGTTAAACACATTCTAAATGTAAGTTTAACACCGAGATTTTTGCGTAACGAAGGTTTGAAGAAACGGGAAGTGACGCAAAAAAGAAAAAAACCCGAGTTATTCGGTTAGATCTATTTCTTAAGGCTACCCTAAACCTAACCCTGGACCTAGCCCTAACCCTTACGTAAACCCTAATCCACAATCTCGTCAACAATCACATGTCCTAACCTTATTTACATCTCAACGACCTTGACAAAACCTGGAGTTGACCTTAAGGAATATATCTAGCCCGAGTTATCCTTAAAGGCTAAAGTAGAGAGCGATAACAGATACAAAGTCGAGTTTCAGCTCACTGATAATTCTTCTGAAGACAAAATGTTGTTATGTGAGACCGTGAGATGATATCTGTCATAAAAAGAATTAGTCAGAAGATAACGGAAACAAGTCCGTACATTCTCTGTTCTATCCCATATGCAATATTGGTGCACACAAAATCTGTCTTTTTATCAGGTGATGTCTTAATAATTTAGCATTTCGTTTGCGTATCTACACGAACTTTATTTCTGATACCCAGTGAAACTGGCACTGTTCCTTTAAAAATAGGGTCTGCTGCTTCTTGACAGACCTGGCGTTTCAAGGCGGATTGTACGCTTACCTAATAAAACTGATTAGTAACCAGTTAAAGATACCTTCCCATGAATACCTTTCCATGCGATGGACTTAAACATATTCAAACGAATTTACATATCACAAGTATGCTTTGAATGTCTCCCAAACAGGGGAGCCGCTGGGGCTAAGCGAGAAAGACGCTGGGCAGAGCTGGTGCCATTACATTGGAAATGTAATTAATTACATTACCATTACTTTTTGAAAGTAATCATTAGAATTACTTTCTCATTTTTAGCAATGTAATTAATTACCATTACCCATTACATTGAAAGTAATTTATTACCATTAACCATTACTTTACCCCCCCCCCCCCCATCCATCTAGAGGTGCCTGGTTCGCTGAGACAGATCCTCGGATTTTTCCGGCGTGGTGTACCATTGTCATTGGTTCAGAACGGAGGATGGGACGAAAAGCCAAGATCTCGCATACCCATTGATGTCTGCGAAAACGAGCCCTTGACAATTCGAATTCGAAATTAGAGTAGGCCTACACTGTGGGCCTATGGCGCATACCAGTCTCATTAGATCAGTAGGCACAAAACAGCAGGATGTTAAACCCCATTTGACTTTATTTAGCCCTCAAGCATGTTATCCGGAAGATAATTAACTCCAATCTGTTTCACAGAGATTTTTTAATATCTCTGTTACAGATGACTGTTTCGACACGTGACGTCACATCACGCGGCGTCCATCATTGGCTCAATAGCGCGTGCATTGTTTACATAAGACGTCACGGATTCGGGCTAAATAGTGAATTTTACTTATTTTAATACCCATTTACACTAAATAGGAAATGATTTTTACCTACAAACAATTCAAACGACTTTATTTATTTTTCTAATAAATGAAAAAAATGTTTCAGAATTTAGTTTGTCGAAAGAAAAAAGTTAATATTTTGTAGTCATTAAGTCATCCTTATCAGTGATTGTAGTGGCCAATCGAATATTCACTGCGGATCAGTGTGAATTAACTCATGTCGCAAGAATCTAATTTAAGTCGGCCTAGTTAGTCCCGAAATGACCTAGTTTGTGTCGAGTTGACGTTAACACCCCCTTTCTCTCTCTCTCTCCCTCTCCACATATACCCGATTTGCATAACTAATCCGATAAGTGGGAAATTTTTTTTAAAGGAGCTAAGTCTCTAACTCAATATCATCCAAAATCTTCAACATTTAAACACGAATTATTTGTCAATTTAAATCAACATTGATGCTGTGATCTTACCGGAAAAGGGTGGGCTTCTGATATCCAATATTTAAGACAAAATACATATTTTACCATTGGTACACGAATCGTGTACCATTATGCGTTTCAGCCCCAGTTCTAGCAAGAGACTAGAGGAACAAGGCTAGACATATTGCACCAAACCAAACGGCTTATGTAGACTGGAATAACCAGACGCTAGGAATTTGCACTCGATTGAGACTGCTGGCTTATTTCACGGAACATAACTGATTTGAAATTAGAGTAAAAACGGGAACGATTGAATGTAAATCAGTTTATATACATTCATATTACGGTATTATATGAGTTGCGACCCACTTGTGTCAATTTCTAGGTCCCAAATATTAGCGATTTAGCTCCTTTAAGTGTCAAACTGTAATTATATAATATCATCCTTCCAAATAGAAATCACCAAAAAATCGCGTAAAATGGTTGATTTTAACTCTAATAATTTTCGCCTGACAAGTAACCCCTAATGTATAAAACTTTAATTGGACGATATCAGCTGTATTTTACAGAGCTCATCCCTTCAGACCGAATACAACAAAAAACACATTGCCTTCATTATTGAAATTCAAAGATTGCTATACACAAAGGTATTGAAACAACTGACTGATATATTTGTAAGGAATACTAATAAGAATGCGACATCCCTGTCCGTTCGCTCTATATTGTTTTTATACACTAAACAATTTATGCAGTTTGTGGAAGCAATTTGTATTCTCTATCACCCTTATTTAGCTTGAATATGCCTGGGGGGATTTGGATGGCCGAATGGTTAGCGCGTGCGAGATGTATCATAAGGTCCGACATTGAGTTAACTGGCGTGGTTTCGATTCCCGGGTTGTACGTGACAAGGAGTAGGTTCGCCTATCCATCCCAGTAGGTTTTCTCCGGGTTCTCCGGTTTCCTCCCACTGCTAGAGACCTCTAAGCGAATTATTGATATAAAAATGAACCTAGTTTGTGTCGAGTGGACGTTAAACCCCACTTCTCTCTCTATCTCCCTTATTTACCTTAAATATGACGTCATTTCAAGTATGGACATTTATATAACGAGGGTGAGCGCTCTCTGTGTGAATCAAGAATCGAGAATGAAGTCATCTCCGCCATTTTGGAAATATGACGGTTTTCTCCGGGTCCTCTGTTTCCTCCCACTGCTTAAGACCCCTAAGCGCTAGCAAATTGTAACATATGTTGGTCCCGAAATGACATAGATTGTGTCTAGTTAAACCCCCCTCTCTCTCTCTCACTCGCTCTCTCTCTCTCTCTCTCTCTTCGGTTCCACTCTTGCTCACCAAGATAAAAGGTACTAGGTGCGATCACGTTGTTGGTCGAGAACGTTCCTAGGGAATTTCAAGCCCGACTCTCCTTGTTAGTGGTGCAGGAAACCGCGTCAGATGGAATGAAAAAAAAACGAGTTCGCGCACATATATGTTTGTGTGCGCGTAAAAGAGTTCCTGAGAGTTGACATGCTGCACAATCTGGCTAATGAAGAAGGACCTCTCTCTCTCTCCCTCTTGCTCTCTCTCTCCCCCTCTCTCCCTTTCTCTCTCTCCCTCTTTCTTTCTCCCTCTTTCTCTCTCTCTTGCTCTCTCTCTCCCCCTCTCTCTCTCTCTCCCCCTCTCTCTCTCTCTCTCTCTCTTCCTTTCTCTCTCTATCTTCCTCTCTCTCTTTCTTTCTCTCTCTATCTTCCTCTCTCTCTCCCCCCTCTCCAACTCTCTCTCTCCCTTTCTCTCTCTTCTCTTCTCTCTCTCTCTCGCTCTCTCTCTCTCTCCCTTTCTCTGAGAGTTGACATGCTGCATAATCTGGCTAAAGAGGAATGACACGCGCCTCTCTCTCTCTCCCCCCCCTCTCTCTCCCTCTCCACCCATGGCTCCCACTCACCGTCTGATATTTCTGCATTTAACAGTTGGCGCAAAGAACTCCCAGAAACACTTTTTAATCATCAACATAGAAAATGAAAATCTAATGAGTAATAACATTTATCAACATGAATGAATATATATATATATATATATATATATCATGGTTAACAATAAATATAAAGACATCATCTCTTTTATTAATTCATAAATAGACAGAATATGTGAGGTGCTCCCACAAAACCGGGCTCTTGGTCATTTTTATAAAAATAGAGCTGGCAGCATATTTGAATAGTCGACAGCCTAAGATTTCCAAATATGCAATTCTTTTTAAATTTGTCGTATCATCTGGAGTTGAGTTTGGCTCATTCACAGCAACAAGAAGGCATACAGTTTATGCTTTTCTGCCCGTAGTACAAAATGAAGTTGTGCGACTGGTTTTGTGGGAGTGGGTCACATATAACCATAAACAACAGAAAAATAAAACGTCTATAGGCTATCTTACAGTCATATTATAAACATAGTGTAATAGCTTCGTCGTATCTGGGGGGTTTGGGTAGGAGAATGGTTAGCACGTACGCGTTAAATCATAAGGTCTATCATTGAGTCAGCAAGTGTGGTTTCGATTCCCCGGTTGTACGTGACAAGGAGTAGAGTCGCCTGTCCAACCTCGTGGATTTTCTCCGGGTCCTCCGGTTTCCTGCCACTGCTAAAGACCCCAAACGCGCAAGCGAATTATTGAAATAAAATTGAACCATGTATTTGTCCCGCAATAACCTAGTTTGTGTCGAGTGGACGTTAAACCCCATTTCAGGCGTACACAAAAATATTCTAAAAACGTTTCCACGAAAATGTCAGATTTCTAGCTTGAAATATTTACACACAAAAATAATTTACTAGAAATTACAAATTATATACATACATGTACATAGATGTTTGTTGTACCGCAAAATAAACAACACGATAAGTCGCATGCCTTTCCAAATAAGGTCTGTCTCCAGTAAGAGCCGGGATAAAACTACAAGGTTCGGGTCAACACCTATAAAACAGTAATAACCAAAACGGCCCCTAATTATATGGTGGAAATGTTTAATGTTTACACTAATCTTCGTCCCTCACTTTCAGCGCCAGGTAGGCGAGTTTTCATTTTCCATAAGGGGTGCCAAACTTTGGAATGAATTACCCAGAGACATCAGAGAGTGTACTCAACTACCTCTGTTTAAATCTGAACTAAAGACTCGTCTGTTTAGAGAATCATATAAATAGAATTATACGTGTAACATTGTGTAAATATGGCTGTACTACGCTTAGACATAACAATTGTTATAATTAATGTAGCGCTTTAAAAATGAAATTATAATATTAGTAATAATAATACATGCAAATGGGAAAATTAATTTAAAATCGTGTTTTAAATCCAAAAATCTACACTAGTCGGCTTCTATTGATGAGCATCAGAATAAAACTAGACCTATTTTACAGCTATGACGGGTTTCAAATTATAGTATCAGTTAAAACCTAGGCCTGTGTTGCAGATATGACGGGTTTCAAATCACAATATCAGTTTAAAACTAGGTCTGTGATGCAACTATCGCGGGTTTCACATCACATTACCAATTTATAATGAATGAAGTCCATTATATTCAACAGGCCAGGCAAATTTAATTCCACGTTTACCTTTACATAAGATCATCTTAAGTCAAACACGACAAAAAATATCGTAATTGCGAGTTCATTTTAAAGATAATGTCCAAATGGCGCAATTCCTTTAGCAAATTCTGTTATCTACACATATATCCCAGCACAGCGATCAGCTATAGTGTCAATGACGTAATTCAAGCTATAGAGTCAATGACGTAATGCAAGCACTGTTCATGGCGTAATTCAAACACTGTCCATCTGGTCTAATGATTGGTTATTTATAGTTTCTTCCATCTCCGCGGTAACGCCGTGGTATTTACTAGTAACAAACGTACCGCCAGTATAATATCGCGAACGACTGGCTGACTTGCAGGAAAAGACACATTTGAACTCTGCTCGGAACTTCACTGAAAATATAAATATATAATTACATACTATAACTACTACCATTAAATTTGGCGGGCTGTTGAGTTTTCTTTGTATAGGCCTACCGTGATATATAGCTCAGTAATCCCTGCGTCAAACAGAATCTCCCCATTATCCCATTATACACTGTAACCCGGGTATCATTTAATCTTGTGGATCTAGCACTAATTTCTTTTACATTCGCTTAATATCAAATCTTAGTTTAAAAATTCACAAAATTTATTTAATATCACCAAAATCATCTAATTTGTATTTGTGTCTAGTTTAAAACTTACAAATATTTTATTTCCTGACTATACTGTTCAAAAATTAATCATTTTATATCAATAATCAATTGGGTTGTTTATTTTTTAACAGTGATCGAGAAATTAAACTCTTGTAAATTGGACACCCATTATTAAAACTGAATGGTCAGCTTTAAACTGGACACAAGTACAAATCAGATGATTTTAAATGATTTTTATGAATTTTTAAACAAAGATTTGATATTGAATGGATGTTAAAGAAATTAGTGCTAGATCCACAATGATACCTGGATTACAGTAATATAGGATTAATTGTAATAATACTCCACTTCCTGTAAATGTTCCAATTCATGGCACAACTGTTGTTAATCAAGGCAATCTCCTCCGAACATGGTCACCAATTATTATGCGCAGCGAAAATCCGGATTGTGATATTAGGCTTGAATAAAAATAAAGAGCTAGCCATTCTTTATTTTATGACAAAACGGCGAAAATATCCACCGAGAACTGGTTTTCCCCTTTCCTGTTAGCCAGACAAGGAAAATCGTTTAGCCGTACGGAAACGCCGCGGGCCGGACAATGGTTTCATCGTACCACACTGCATGACGTATCTTCATCTTCGTTATACGGGTGGGTGCTTTTACCGTAAGACGTTTAACACCTATTTCATTTCATTTACGCCAAGAACTGTCATCACCATGGGAATTACATTTAATACACGTATATGTTATTTACATGCAATACAACAATAGAATGCATGTCGTCTTTCCATCACATCCGTATAATTCTGAGAATTCACTCGGTTTTTGTCATGCAAACAATCATCTTGCCATCAACATCTGCATTATAGACAACTATCTGCATCAGGGATCGAAAAACGCCATTATGGCACCAAAATCACAATTTGAAATAAATAAAAAAGGATTGACTTCTTTTATGATGATTTTATCCCCTAAAGCGATACTAAAATGAAGTTATAAAGTAATGGATTTCTAAAGGATAAAAGATAAAGTTGGCAATGCGGGTTGTTTGTAGATAAACCCATCTAATAAAGATGATAGGTTGTATGGCCCCATGACAATAACCATTCACCTAGAGCAATAATGTAAAGGGGTTCCGCATTAATACAAGTGATATATGGCGATAGTACTTTTAATATGACAATAAAGAATACTCACTACTCATGAAATTATAGATAACGGGATTAATAGCACTGTTGAAATAACACAGCCAGTGAGCTATTAGGTACATCATGGGTATTATAGGAGAGTTGTTGCCCATTAGACTCAGCCATCCAGTTGACCTGAAATAGAGAAGTATATTAATGATGCCCATAACTCATACAAACAACATGTCGGATCGTTACGTGCTACGTATCTCAAGAATTTCCATGGTGAACCCCATGCCTTCTTTTGAGCAAGAGGTTGCCACATGTTGTTTCATCTACGGTTGAAAGCGTTCAATCCACTGAACTTTTGGAAAAATGCTATAACCGGTTAAACCGACGAGAGAGAGAGAGAGAGAGAGAGAGAGAGAGAGCGAGTGTTTAACGTCCACTCAACACAAACTAGGTCATTTCGGGACTAACATATGCTCAATTTTAGTTCAACAATTCGCTTGCGCGTAGAGGGTCTTTAGCAGTTGGAGGAAACCGGAGAAAACACACAAAGTTGGACAGGCAACCCTACTTCTTGTCACGTACAACCGGGGAATCGAAACCACGCCAGTTGACTCAATGACAGACCTTATGACACAGCGCGCACATGCTAACCATTCGGTCATCCACCTCAGCTAAACCGACAAGAATTAACATTAGAGTGATTGGTGAAATCAATAGCGTACTTTGGTCAGATCAAGCCATTACACATTAAAGCAGGGGCTCATTTATCCAGCTCATCTCTAAATTGCGTATTAAAGGACAATATTGGTGTCAGTCATTATCACATATGTGATAGAATTGGTCAAACACGTTCCAAATATAATTTTAACACAGAGATCATTGCTACGATAGATGCGTAACTGACTGAAGTGACGAGTGATAAGTGAAGGAATTATTAGTGAGCAGAAATTCGCCCGTGTATCTGATATCACTCTCCACTTCAGTCAGTAATATAGAGGGATAACTCGTGTTTTCATTTTCTTTTACGTTCGTCACTTCCGATTGTTGAAATTATATTTGGAACGTGTTTAACGAGTTCTATCACACATGTGATAATGACTGACACCAATATTGTCCTTTAAATGATACAATAAATCATACAGACATAGAAATGAACTTGTTTATAATGTAGCCATTCACACATGAGTATTGATATGAAATATTATAAGAGGTTTTATCTGATTTGTTATTATCCCATTTATTACAACTATTGACTTATTCACCGATTTCTGTTCTCCCAAATTATCTGATGCCTCGTTTACTTATATGGGTAGCTAACAGACAGCAATCTTTATAAATAATCCATTTGTCTATACCGAGTGCCCGAATCCCCTGTCTAATTGCTTCATTTTCAAGAGTATTACCTCTATGGGTCACGCCAGATAGCAATCTTAATAAATTTGCAAGAGAATTAGTTCTGTTTTACAGATAACAGGTCAATTATGTATTCTTTATACAATACTCCGTGAACCTAACCCAGTTTATTTTCCCTCTTGTCATTGTTGCAATCTGGCACGGAATACAGTTTATCACCCAATAATACATTCTACAGTAGATATCTATTGAGATACATAAACTTAATTGGTCAATCAAAAAGGAACTACTTTTTTTGTTTTCAAAGAACAGTTCATTTTTTTTTAATTAAAAGTAACTTCTTTCTTATTTAATTGGCATTGATGGAAACACACGGTCAGTATAAAAGACTTTGCAATGGTTGAGTTGCTGTCAACTTTTACTTTATCGACTTGTGTCAATATTTTTTGATATCAAAAAAGATTCGTAGGAGATTCTCTATGTAGTCGTTGGGCTGGTACGGAAAACTAAGGGCTCGGTACACGTTGTCGTACACGTAAAAGATCCCTTAGCATTTGGAATTCTATGAATAGTAGAAGGGAATGCTGCTCTCCGGGGTATACATTTCGTGATCAGCCCTGTACAGGATTTCAACTCGCATGTGTTACGAAATGTCGTTATTTAATAACAGTGCAGTAGTTATATTGTGTTTTGATATTCTTATATTTCAACTGTCAAGGCCTCTTTTACACGTTAGCCTACATGTATACGGTGGTCCTCCTCCGCTACAGGAGTGTTGGATGTCCAAATGGTTATCGCGTGCTAATACCATAATACCAAACCCCACGATAAATAAATAATAAAAATAAAATAAATAGATATTCCGACCGACCCGCCGACATGAATTATTTATCTAGGTCTAATAGCAATTATAAGCATCTTAATAATTGATCATTTTAATTGCGGGTCGGGGTGGCTAATTGGGTAAGACGCTGGCTCTCTGGCCGGGAGGTCGTGTGTTCGATCCCTGCATTGGCCGAGAAAGTTCATTGGGATTTTCCCACGTAGTTTTTTCTTGTCAGTGGTACAGGACAGATGGTCTGACAAGGACAGTTGTCTAGTCGTTCGGGTGGGACGAAAAACCGAGGTCCCGTGTATACATCGGCATGCACGTAAAAGATCCCTTGGCAGCTTAAATTCGTTATAAGAGTAGGCGATAGTGCCGCTGCCCGGGCAAAAATTCACCCATAGCACACTGAATGACGTATGCCCGTCTACATTAGCCCAGTCGGAGCAGAACAGTAGTACGTTAAACCCCATTTCATTTCATTTTCAGTGTGGTTACAAATCGTCATTGCTTTGCTTCTCACAGAAAAATAAATAATACAATTATCGAGGAGAAGAAGTCTTGAGGTGTTCGAGATTTCGCTATAATTGATACAATTTATTCCCCGTTTAAGTGGAACCGCTTCCTGTTTTTGCCAATTTGTAATACAGGCGATGTTACTAGAGTGATGTCATTTAAAAAAAAACCCAGCTAGCTATAGAAAAAATAAAATGACATATCCGTCTTGATTTATACAATCGGTAGAACTTAATGTAATGGAAAGGAATTTAATGTCTCGTCATTATGTATAACATAATTAAGGTTTGCGGCCATATAGGAGTCTAAAATAACATGAATATTATGATATCTGCCGGACCTTAAAAGCTGTCTGTTAGGATACAATGGGTTTTTTTTTTTTTGGGGGGGGGGTGCAAATTTGATTTGAAATTGCGATTTATATTTCACAATCAGGATGTTTTTCAGATGCATCGTAAATAAAATATCATCTAGATTCAAGGTCGGTTGCGGGGTTGGATGGCCGAATAGTTAGCACGTGCGCATTGCATCATAATAAGGTGGTTTCGATTTCCCGGTTGTACGTAACAAGGAGTAGGGTCGTCTGTCCAAACTCCTGGGTTTCTCCGGCTCTTCGGGTTTCCTCCCACTGCTAAAGAACCCGGCGCGCAAGCGAATTGTTGAAATAAAATTGAACCGTGTGTTAGTCCCGAAATGACCTAGTTTGTGTCGAGTAGACGTTAAACCCCATTTCTCCCTCTCTCTCTCTCTCTAGGACCGTTGCCGATCCATAAAATATTTTAGACGCACTTTTCAATTCTTGTTTACGTAGTCCATATTTTGTGACCAATGTTATTAAAATACAGATCTATATATCGTATCGTTTTTTTATACTTTCAATGGTCAGCACTACATGTAGATCTGGCCGGGTGTAGTGAAAGGTCGTGTCAGGGGTCATACGAACGACTTTTGACCCTATGACGTCAAACATGTGATTAACCAATCAGCGTTGATGTTTCTAGTAATGAATGACTTACCTGAGTTTGCACAGGTAAATAACATGAATGACTTACCTGAAGAGAAATAGGGTATGAACAGGTAAATAACAGACAGCGAATAGTACTACAATGGCAATCAGCATCTTGGCTACTTTACGTCGTGATATCAACTGCGTCTCGGCATGATTGAAATGTTTTTTACATTTTGAAACTGAAAAAAAAATAGACAATTAAAAGCCTCATATGACATTATATCATTTTGTTAGATTCATATATAACTTTTTGTCTGACAAATGTTCAAGCTGCAGGTTGGTGTCGGATTTAAATTCGTGTTTTTGCTAGTAAAAGAAGAAGAAGAAGAAGGAGTGTTTTTACATTTTGAAACTGAAAAAAAGACAATTCAAAGTTTCACATGAGATTATCATTTTATTTCATTCATAAAACCTATAATTTTGTATTATTATAAATAATCTGATCAAAACAATATCCTATTTCGTTTCGTTTTTTATAGTTCAAAACTTCATTTTACTTGCCTTTACTACATTAGAATCTGAAAGAGTTGTTACATTGCCAACGCTGATTGATTAATCAATGTCTGACGTCATAGGGTCAAAAGCCGCTCGTACAACCCCTGACCCGACCTTTCAGTACAACTGGTCAGATCTTCATGTAGTGTAGGCCATCGAAAATATAACAAGAATAAACGAAACGAAATATATAGATCTGTATTTGAATCAGATTGTTTTATATATACTTTTTTTTCTGACACGTGCTCGGAGTTAAATTCGAGTAACACGTTTTAATTTATTTTTTTTTGCTGATATAACAAGGCAAAGAGGAAGCAATGTTTATTAAAATGCCACGCGGTGTACATTTACAAATTATATTTCAGTTAACATAGTTAAAGATACATTATGGGAGATAAGATAAAGAGATGGCAGTTCTCGCTATAATAGTTAAAAACTAGATAGTGTAAAGGTAATTTGCTGAAAATTTCAGTCAAATTGATCCACTTTGAGCCGAGAAAGAAGCGGGTGAAATTTTTGCATAGTCTCGGTCATCATTACTAAAATCATTAATATAAACAGCATAGTCTCGATTATCCACTTTTATTGATTTAATTATCAATAGCCGTTAGCGGCATATAGGAATCTAATCCAGCCAACATCGAAGGCTAGCCTTGACATCGAGAGTTTAATATGGTCTGGATAAGTTAATTAATGTCTAATTGATAATTTAGATAACATTTCAGGCCTAAAGAAAGACTTGTAATAAGCAGATTTTGCTCTTGCATAATGCATGTTTAATAAAAAATAACACGTATTGAACACTGGATATATGTTTTATAAACCTATAACTGTAAATCTCTTTGGGGTATATTCTATATATGCCCATAATAACTTGCAGTCTGAAAGTCGGGGGGCGGCTTTGGATATATATAGGCGAATTAGGGGTATTCTTCGGAAAGTTTTTCTTTAAACCTGTAACGGCTTTTTCTTCCAAGGGTTTTTTTTCCATAAGAAAACATGATATAAGGTTTTTCTTACTGGAGTTCTGGGATATTCTCATTTTACGTACATGTAAACCTAGACGGTTTATAAGCAAGATAAAGTATTCGACTTTGAGAGAGAGAGAGAGAGAGAGAGAGAGAGAGAGAGTTTAACGTCCACTCGAAACAAAATAAACTAGGTCATTTCGGGACTAACAAATGGTTTTTAATTTTATTTCAATAATTCGCTTGCGCGTAGGTGTCTTTAGCAGTGAGAGGAAACCGGAGGACCCGGGGAAAACCCATGAGGTTGGACAGGCGACCTTCGGGGAAGAAAGATTTCGGGTTATTTTCTTCAGTCTTTCTTTCCCCAGCATAACCTCAGTCTCGTGCTTTATCCTACACAGACAATTCAACAAACATTTACAAGAAAGAGAGAGAGATCCAATCCGTTCTAAATCATAGTTCATTTGACATACAGTTCTACAAAATATATAATAGACAATTATGACACATTGACAACTATAAAATATTGCTTCTAAGTTGAAATGTAAAACAATAGTTATAATTCTTATACTGACACATGTTCAAGCTGAAGTTCAGTATCAGAATTCAATTATACTTTTGTCAAGTTTCCATATAGCTCCGACTGAAGAGATACACGATTTTACGTACTATAATATCGTTTGCTGGTAGAAATTCAGATAATTGAACTATGAAATTAGTTTAATGTTTACATGTTTATTGTGAATAGATGAAATGAAATGGGGTTTTAAAGTCTTGCTGTTCTGCTCCGACTGGGCTAATGAAGACGGGCATACGCCATACAGCGTGCTATGAAGGAAATTTTGCCTGGAGAGCGGCACTATAGCCTACTCTTATACCGAATTCAAACTGAAAAGGGATCTTTTACGTGCACGGCAATGTATACACGGGACCTCGCTTTTTCGTCCCATCCGAACGACTAGACAGCTGTCCATGTCAGGCCCCCGTCCTGCACCACTAATAATACATGCTCAAAGGAGAAACCAAGTAGGAAATTATGCATAGATATTCGTGGGGGGGGGGGGATGGTCGAATGGTATCATACAGCCTGTCATTGAGTCAACTGGCGGGGTTTCGATTCCCTGGTTGTACGTGACAAGGAGTAGGCTCGCCTGTCCAACCTCGTGGGTTTTCTCCGGGTCCTCCGGTTTCCTCCCACTGCTAAAGACCCCTACGCGCAAGCGAATGAATAAAATAAAATTGAACCAATTGTTAGTCCCGAAATGACCTAGTTTGTGTCGAGTGGACGTTAAACCCCATTTCTCTCTCTCTAGATATTCGATTGCAATACCTGATTCCACCCAGACAGACCACTGCAAGCGTATGCTCTAATTCTTTCGTAATATATATATATCATTATTTTAAATATCATAACACGTAGCATTTGGTTATAAACAGATTATACAAAACATTGATCCCTGTATCTCTACGGGTAGCCGTATGTAATTGAGATATTACCAACTCTCGCACCTGTTCTTGATAACTGAACAGTAGATATTACATATTGCTGTGTATGTACAGTATGTAACAGTTATACATAACACGGTAATTGATTGATTGGCTTCTTCAGTTAAGACATTTCAGCTTCTCTTCACAATTCCAACGATTTTTATGAATTAACCAGGCCCATGATCACTTCATATCGCTGACTTAGCAAAAAAAAATACCTTTTATTAATGAACATATTTGCCACAAACAGATCAGAGTTGCCATTTGATATGCATAATGTTTAGTAGTCAATTAACCGTTTTATTATTCAGGTAGTAAGTAGGTGTTAAACTGTGACTATTGAATGATATACACCACTATTCACCAGGTTTGTGTATTCAATAGTGATGGGTGTTATAATTAGTCAGCTTTTACACAAGTAGTAACATCTCGCTAATTTAAGACTACTGTATAATTTCTAACCACTTTCTATACACTTGTACGATTTAATGACATTAAATTAAAGATACATTATGGCTTTAATAGTTAAAAACTAGATATTGTAAAGGGAATTTGCTGAAAATTTCTGTCAAATTGCTCCACTCTGAACCGAGAATTTAGCGATTGAATTTTGGGCCTAGCCTCGATCATCATTACTAAAATCGGTACAATAAAAAAAACATAGTCTCGATTATCCATTTTTTGATTTAATCAGAAGCAGCAGACCGGGTTCTAATCCAGTAAATATCGAAGGCTAGCGATGCCATCGAGAGTTGATTATGGTCTTGTTTTGTTAATAAATGTCTTATTATAAGTTTATATAACATTTAAGGCCTAAAGAAAGACCTGCAATTGGATGATTTACCTCTTGCATAATATAATGTTTAACGTAAATTTCAATGCCAACGATTTTACAGCTTAAAACACATTTAAAGATTTCAGTTGTAAGATTCTTGTTTAAAAACAACAATATCAGTAGAGTTTTTAACGTGACCAGGTGATTCATTCACCTTTTTTTTCCATTCATCAGTTTTAATGGTGCAAGACGGATGACCTGGCAAAGGACAGCATCTTGTCGTGGGAGTTACGGTGGCTAAGTGGGTAAGAAGCTGGCTCCCTAGCCTGGAGGTCCATCCCTGCTTTGGCCGAGAAAATTCATCGGAATATTCCGGCATGGTTTTCATATTGTCAGTGGTGCAGGACGGAGGGCTTGACAAGGACAGCTGTCTAGTCGTTCGGATGGGACGAAAAACCGAGGCCCCCGTGTATACATTGACATGCACGTAAAAGATCCCTTGGCAGTTGGAATTCGATATAAGAGTAGGTCATAGTGCCGGTGTCCGGGCAAAATTTCCCTCATAGCACAGTGTATAGCGTATGCTCGTCTTCAATAACCCAGTCGGAGCAGAACAGTAGGACGTTAAACCTCATTTCATTTCACTTTTGCATCTTGTCACGGAACAGAACCACTGACAATCCAATGAAAGGTGGGCGGAAACGTGACTGCTCGGCACATTTTAGCTATAGCACATCGTTTTCCTTCGACTGGTTGATGATACTTGAAAGTAGGACGTTCAACCCCATTTCAGTTTCTTCAATCTCAGACAATAATCCATAGATGGAATAAAATAAAAACGACGGGAAATGGAAATTTCGGCTATAACAGAATTATTGCAATAAAAGGCAAGGGATTAGAAAACTGTGTTGAATTGTTCGTTTTCCTGACATTGAATGCCAATAATAATGCTACATGGCTTTATTTGGCATGAAATAGACGAGGAACGCACTAAGTGACAGCAGAGAGGTACTTCAGACTTGACTGAGTTAAAAGGTAAAATTCGATTTCTACATTCGATTGGCCAAATCAAAGTTAATCAATGTCTTGAATAGTTAATTACTGTCTTGTTTTCTATTGAACGCACCGGTCAGTTATAACCTAATATTACTCAACAATCATACGAATTAAATACGAACGACTTATATTTAATTCGATCAGGTTGGCCGTGTTCATCCCTTTATATAACCTTCGCTCCTCATTAAAGCTGATATCATGTTTAAAAGAGAGAGAGAGATAGAGAGGGGGAGAGGGGGCGACAAACTAGGTCATTTCGGGACTAACACGTGGTTCAATTTTATTTCTATTATTCGATTGCGCGAAGGGATCATGTCGCATTTCGAGACAAACATAATTCTGATTCAATTTTACTTTAATATTTCGCATATGAGTAGGAGTCTTTAGAAGTGGGAGA